GGGGTGAAATCTGGGACTATCTGCTCGCTCAAGCAAGGAAAAACATAGACACGTTCCGGTTCTATTGCTTTTTTAAAAAATACAGCCTTTTGTATAAATAATATTTTTCCTATGATCCACTTTGGGTGCAGGGATGACAAATGTGCAGCCATTTACCCGTCCCTTGTTCATATGGGTATATAAATATAGTATGTTTGACCAATTTAACCTTAGTTAACATGTAGAACAGTATTTTTTGAAAAATGTTACCTTAGCCTGTTGATACAATAATACTCAGTTATTTCGTAAATTGATTTGAAGTTACTCTGACCTGTTGAATTAGAATAGTGTGTACCAGTTACAGAGCCTTAAGTGAAAAGGAATGATAAGTAAATAAGGTCGATTTTATGTAAAACTCTTTTGGGGATAAAAAATGACCAACGTTCTAGTGTTTCAGGAGTCCTATTGGGCTAAGTGTTTCCTAGAGCACATAGAAAATCACCCCCATTTTTCTGGTAAGCGATAGGCAGCTACCTTTACAACCGCACACACCCCCCCCCCCCCTCTCCGGTCCTATTTCCCCTCCTTGAAGGTTTGGGTTCCAAGGGCCCGAAAATAAATAAACGCATGCTCTGCTGAAATCAAAACAGATACAGTGCAATTGGTACCAACTCTGAGAGATTATAGCTAGAATGCCAGCCGACGTAATCTCTTTCACTTCCTCGCCCGCGACTACAAAAGCTGTTTTTAATAAGAATATGAAAGCAGCTCTTGTAGCAAATGGATGAAGCATATTCTGCAAAATTGGGTGACTTTTTACCGCCTATACCACAAATTAGACAGACAAATGTACACTTTCTCTTTTTCCCGTGACCAGGTGAGTGGACGCTGGTGGATTCCGACGGAGACATCATGGAGGAAGAAGACGACGAGACTGAAGGGGAAACTCAGCACAGAATCAACGAGTTTTACTTCATGCCTGACCCTGACCAGTTTATCTGGACACATTTCCCTGACGATACTAAATGGCAGCTGCTCAAGACTCCAGTAACGATTCAAATGTTCCAAGAGCATTTCTACATCAGAGAACGCTTCCATATTTTAGGTGCGTCCTCTTAGTTGAATTTTAGACAAACAAGAAGGACTGCTAAATCTATTCAACCTCAGAGGGTTCTAAGTGATGAAACCTTTTATTCCATTTCTTTTCAAAAGGTGGAAAACTTGGCCTGCCGTTGGAACAAAGGGCTTAGAGGAGAAATTATACTTCAGGAAAGGATAACAAACATTTTGAAACCGTCTGATTCGAAACCAGCGGTTTGTGTGTCAACCAGCTTAAATCTAACTACGTCAATTTCATTCTGTGACCTGAAAGCTACTTCTTCTCTTTGGTCACATAGCATAGTTCTCGATTCTATTGCATAAATACGCACTTTTATTCTCCACGTAACACCATTGCGCCACCAGTATGTTTGAATAATTTTGGGGCAAAATTTATAATTCCATTTATAGACATTTAATATGGAAATTTTGAGATATTTACCGGAGTTTTGTTGTTGTTATACTTTTAACTGACTTCCATGCGTGTATATTTATAATCATTGTGTTTAGAGATTAATGTTGCGCTTCATGGAAACATTTTATTCAGTATTAATGAGATCAGGTTTAACTGTTTGAAAGAAAGCTTACTTGCTAAAATTCTAAAATTTGACATAGGTTGCGTTTTGTCCTCTATATGGAGACCTAAGCTCCAGTTTTATTTTTTGCCTACATATAAATAGCAAATATCTGAATATTGTTTAAGATGTGACTTCCAACTTTTGCAGGCATGAGCGAAATCCCCGCGACGAAAATTCCGTGCGTGGCTGAGACAGTGAACGGCGAGGTCGAGTTCTCTTTCGGTCTCCCCCCTGCCCACAGCAGCACCTACCGATACAAGTACATGCTCTACAGGTCGCGATCTGCCTCCGCCGAGAGCCGCGTGGACGTCTTTCTCGACAGGTTTGTCCTCTTCGAGCAACAAGAAGACACTCTGAGGTTTGCCCTTCGCTTTCCGGTCAAGGGGGATTTTAAACTGGATATCTATGGACTTGACATTCAAGACGGTGACGTGTTCGACTTGTGCTGCACCTACATCATCAACTGTCCAAAGGCTAAACCTAATTGTCTACCTTTGCCGGACTGCCCGCCGATCGGCTGGGGTCCGGCGCCAGAGACGAAAGCTGCTGGGTTGAAGCCCATTACACACAAGCAAGCTGAAGTCACTTCTAGAGATGGGTTCGTCGAGATCCGGTTAGCCAAAGAAAGGGCTCTCGCTTTCCATCAACTGCTGAGACACTCTATCATTGACGAAGCCACGCTTAGTAAATATTCCGTCACGGAACTGGATAATAACGAGGCTATTGTGTACCTGCGCTTGCCTCAGAAGGGTGAGTACGCCCTGAAACTGTTTGCTCAAGATCTAGAAGAGGAAGGAGCTGCGCCCAACGTGCTGAACTACCTCATCAACTGCAGTAACTCGGACACAGGCTCCAAACCATTCCCAAACGTCACAAACGGCCTTCTGGGTAGAAACGAAATGACGAGCAAAGTCTTCGGTGTCAAAGCGACGTCTCACCCTGACGGAATGATCGAAACTTCTGACGGAAAACTCACAGCGACGTTTGAAGCGAACCCCGACGTTGAGCTCGTCTGCGAAATGCACACGAACGACGGCGTGGCGGCCAGAAAGATGAAGAAAGTCGTCTCCAACGACGGAACCAAATGGACCTTTGACCTTGACATGCCAGTAAAGGGCGAGTACTCGCTCAATGTGTTTGCGCGGAAGAAGGGCGACACTGGGCAGATCAGTAGCGTCTACACCTACCTCATCAAGTCCGCTGGGAGAGAGGATGGCGCAGGTGACTCAGGATCGACAGATGGCGAGGAAGAAGTGGACACATCAGTCCCGACCGAGACGGTGGAAACAAGTGACGGGGAGGTGAGCGAGTTTCCGAATTTTTCTTTGGCTATTTTAGTATTCGTTCTGTTTCAGATTGATACTACCGACACGTGTGCTATTCAGGTGCGGACTTGACAAATAATTATTTATAAACCAATGAGATCAGGATTTTAGTCCCGTTTGGATACCATTTTATGGCTAACAAGAAGAATATGTATCCATCAGGAGATATTGGGAAAGTGTTGTTTTTTTCGGGGGGGGGGGGGTACTTTTTTGTTCTTTAGTTGGGATTTGTTTTGGGGTTTTCAGTTTGTTTGTTTGTTTGTTTGTTTGTTTGTTTGTTTGTTTGTTTGTTTGTTTGTTTGTTTGCCTGTTTGTTGTTTTGTTGGGGGTTTTTTGTCTTTTGTTTTGTGTTGTTGGTTGTCGTTTTTGTTTGTTTGTTTGTTCTGGTTGTTTTGTTTAGAGAGCGACACCAGTGCTTTGTCTTCAAAGTGGCAGATTCTGTATCTAGAAGCCTGCCTTACTTGAATAAAAGATTAGATAAAGATGAGATGAGATGGAGGCGAGGGGTAAGCACGTTTACACTTTAGAATCCGTTCTTCAATGTGCTAAATCTTATTTATCTGGGTAGAGTATCTACTCTTGAAGTACCTCTGCCATAAGGCTCTGAAACGTTGTGAGCAGGAATACGGAACCGGACATAGTTAGCCTACTCTGAGTGTGTATCGGGTGCCTGTGGGAGTTGCTTTTGAGAATAAATTTTATGCACTTATCTGGAAACAGGGAAATATGACTTTTTTTCTTTTTTTCCTGAAAATGGAAATGGGGGGGGGGGGGGGGGCTCCTGTTTTCTGAATACAGTGCGTGAAGTGGTCTGTTCTGACTACATGTATTGGTTGAAAGAAGGATGAAGGGGGATAAAAGAAGTGGGAAGGGGGTGAGAGAAAGAGAGAAGGTTGGGGGGAGGGGAAAAATGAATAGAAAGAGTTAGAATGGGAAGATGTCATCATCTGCTACCTACTTATTTTCTATTCAATACGCTGAAAGGGAAAGGTAAGTATTCTGTGGCTTGTTATCTTCTTTGATTCATTCGTTTTCGATGGTGTGTTGTATTAGGGAAAGTAGAGAGCTGGGATTCATCTCTTCACATTCTCAAAATTCCACTCGTGGGCTAGGAGCCCTTTGCTGTTGCCTCTGTCTGAATCTAAGCACGATTATACCATTATTGTATCAGTTGATTTGGGAGTTGTGTTTGAGAAAGATAGATAAAGAAGGACGAACAATTTTCTAATCACTACTTCTGAAAAAAAAAATTCTATGGAGTTGCAAATGAAATCAAAAGATTTGAAGGGTATCAAACATACAATTTGAAAAGGTTGTTGTTTTTTTCCTTACGATTGACATAATATGTACTTATTTCTTTAACATTCCACTAGAACATTTATTGCACATTGTGTACTGTTTTGATGTGTGTTTCGGGGCTGTTGTTTTTCTGTTTTTGTTTTAGGGTTTTGGGGTTTTTGTAATTTTTAATTATTTTTTGTTTTTTTTTGGGGGGGGGGTGTTTGCTTTTGTTTTTGTTTTTTTTATCTATGTCTCGCAATTTACTGTGATATGTTAGAAGCCATTACTAAAAATGTATCGGATCTTCAACGACCTGATCCGCCCTTTAACTATCGTTCCTGTCTTTCAATACGTGTTGCCTTATATCTCAGGGCAAGAAGAAAAAGGTATTGTTGTAAGTATTGCATGATGATAAACTTACGAAAACAGTAGTGAGTGAACGCAATGTCGATAACAGAAACAAACATGGCACGAATGCATGAAAATGTTTCTCCTTGTACTTACTCGTATATTCATTAAGAACGCAACCGGAGGTTATAAAACACCTTTCAGTGCATGCTGTAGCAAAACTAAAATCTTGCTCTAGTAAGGCAAAACAAGGAAAAGATTGGTGACGTGATGGAATTCAATAATATTAGGATCTGGTTTTGGATTTTTATCAGGTTGCTTTTGCGAGTAGTATTCCCTCGTGAAAACCCATGTCAGAAAGTAACGTCGTTACTTTCATTTTGACTGGTGATAACGATCTGGTGAATCACAAAGGATTATTTGCCCTGTCGTGAGTTTGATCACAGAGGCAAAGTCAGCGCTCCCAATTAAAAAGCACGAGTTCAAACTCAGTTTTCCTTAAGGGGGGGGGGGGTCTTCTTAATAGAACCAGAACAGTATTATTTTTACCCCCGACTGAGAACGGAAAATAAAATGCCTTTCCCACAATCATTAAAGTCACATAATCTAAGAAAGGGCTTAATCTAACCGCGAGGATTCAAATTCTTTGCAATGCTCACGTAATAAAGTGGATGAAAAGGGAGGGGGCTGGAGAATGGCGAGGTGTTTTTAGGCTGGTTTGACTTCTAGCTCTCCCCTCTATGCTGCACCTTATTGCAAATAATTTTGAATTGGACGATCCAGTTGTTTATTTGTAATCAACGAGTTATATCTTTTGGTAGCATATTGTTTCAGCCCGCTAAATCAAAGTAACTAAAGACATGTGCAGATTGCAGATTAAATGATGCAGAGTGTTAAAGAGATGATTTTTACAAAGGTGAAATGTCCACAGAAGGACATGGTTAGCTCGAATACAAAACGCACACGTTTGTGCTGCAACTATGGGTATAATAGATCTCTCCGCACCTCAATATCTATAGTGATCACCCACTCTGCTTTATGTATTGCACCATAGATGTTCTTTATTTTTCCATTGAATTCTGGGCTTTTAATTTTCTTGGTTTACATTTTGTGTCGTCTACTGAGAGTGGAAACTATTTTATTGTAAATTTTTCCTGTCGACAAAGTCTATCATTTTTATTTTCACCTTTGATGTTTAGCTTATTGTCAAAACTTGGTAATAAAGCGTAATTATTAATTAATTTTGCCTGCTCTTTCATCCGTCTCTAAAACGCTTCCCGTTACTTTATCGTTTATTTTTTTGGTCCATTCAGTAGTCCAATAAAGTTACCTGAATGTATGAATAGCTTGTTTTCATTATGCCTCTCACCGAACTCGTGTCTTTTTATTCCTCGTAGCCAAAGCAATATATTTCTGTTATCCTTTTGGGCACGTTTCATTTTTATTTGATCCAAGTTATTGTATCTTTACCTGCGTCAGATTTGAAAACATAATTAACTTGTTTCTAATATCTAAAAATCCATGTCAAACAGTTTCAAAATAAGACTCGAAAGAGCTCATTTCAGCTCTGTATAGTCAATTTCCTTTCTGTGTCTTGGGTATACTTTATAACTGCATTTTATATCGTGTATCGATGAAAATATGGTATGCCTCCGAAACTTTTGTTTTTTATCTATCGTTCTCGGTAAGTACGAAATATGTACTACAGAATGTTGTTGTCTCCGCTTTGTCATTGAAATTTTCTGACCGCGCATCGTTGTCTTGGTTACAAGTGATGTTTTGGCATGTGCATGCGGACTTCCCTCAACAACTGTCATTACTGCCTGTCTGCCTGTCCGCATGTCTCCCC